GTCGGCCAAGACCGAACAAAAAGCTTGTCGAGCACTCGACGGACCTCGACGCAATTCGATTGCTGCCGCTTGCGAGAAACTGAGCGTCGTTCTTCGATCGAAATCGAAAACAGAAAACACCTCTAGCGGCCACTAAACCCTAGAGAGAATAACTTTATTTAGGGGGTTTTTGGATCTGATTCTTAAAACCGCTTCTACTCTTTCAGCGAGCAGAAGCAGAAGTTGGAGTGTATGAGTGAAAATGCAAAAGTGATTTTGGGGTTTTAATTTACCATGAGAATCAGTTTTTTTAGAAGCTAGGAAGTAACCAGTTTCTGAAAACTGATTCTAATTCTGCTTTAAAAAAGAAGGAGAAACGAAATCAGTTCCAAACACCCCCTTAAAATATAAAGGAGCTGTTTGTGTTTCTGTTTTTAAACAACAAACCGAATAAGTTCCAAACACCCGCATAACCTATGAGCTCAAAAATTCAAAATATAGGGCATGAGTTATTGCGCTCTAAATAGCGGGGTAGCTTCTTCCTAAATCCTTACCCAACATACTCCGTACGAAGTATGACCATATCCATCCATGTCCATGGGTCTATTCCCTGGACATCTGCTATGGAGATTTGAATGGAGCTACGTGTCGCTTTAATCCTCAATCCATAGATTCCGTTCCTGAAATTTCAACCAGCAGATTCCTTCCTTTTCTTTTTTTCAATTTCAATTGTAGAAAGAAAACCATGTCTTTCGCAATCCTCTCATCCTCATGCTTCTCTCTTCGCAATTCCGAACTTTCATCTCCGCCTCCCACTATTTATCCTCTTTTAATTAAACCCCATTTCCATCACTTTGAGAATTCGCATTCTCTTCCGCTTTTTCCTGATTATTCTTCACTTTTCGTTAATCCTAACAAATTTTCTTATTCCATGTCGACCGGTGTTAAAGATGCCCTCTCGTGTAGAGGCCTCGCCGTCGTCCCCCTCTTTCCGGCCCGAATTCCGGCGACAAAAGCGGGAACCAATTCTCCAGCGCAAATGAAGGGGAGGAGGATGAAGATTCTGATGATGAAGAGCATGATGAAGTGACTGCTCAGGATATGGACATGAATATGGATATGGAAGATGATTGTTGTCCCACTTCCGTTCTTTCTCAGAGATGGGATGTGTTGGGCCTTGGTCAAGCTATGGTGATTTTTCTATTCCTCCATTGTACATTTGTACATTAGCTTACGCCCCTTGCTTTTACGGTTTTACCTATTCATGTTCATCCCATTGCGAGCTGAAAGAGTTTGTTCAAGTAGATGAATGTTTTTTGGAAACAATTTGCTTACCTTGAATTCCATTTTTACCCTGTGTAATTCAAATCATTTCTTATATATGAGTGTAGTATTTGACTTTGATGTTGGTGATAAATTAGGGGTAAACCTAAAAGTGGAAAATGGAATATGTAGAATTTAACCAAATTGCTATTTGTTTTCTGATGAATTGTTTTGTAAATCCTTGCAACCCATGTGTCCTGCAATGCTAGAGATGTTCACAAGCTAACAAATTTCCCAATGAAATGGCATGCCAGAACTGTGTATATAAACTATTGTACATGTGAATTATTTGTTTTCTTTCTCAAGATTAGTTCTGTTAATGAGATCAGTGTGCGTTGTAAACCTGGTAAATATGCCTTTAATTTCAGAACATTTCCAATGGTTTAATATATTCTTTGAGCATTCAGTCTTACATCTCTGATTGCTAATAATGTCTAGAAACTTCAATTGGTATACTATTTGTCTATTTGCGTGGTTTCTGAAATAATTCTATCTATTAATAGTTGAGGGGCACAGCTAATACTGTGAGTAATTATATATTTAGGTGTCAGTAACTCTGTTTGGAAAACGAAAAATAATTGCAAGGAAAGAAAATTTGGGAGAACGTAAAAGATAGACTCGAACTTAATAAATTAATTTTTCATGTGTTCAAACTCATTTTATTTATCTATTTAAATTATTTACCTACTTATTTATTTATTTATTTATTTGTACTCCGTATTACATAAAAGTCCTGAATCTCATCCAAATATATGTAGAAGTTATAAACACATTAATCAAATTTTATTACTTTTGCAGTTTCCGGGTAAATCAAACACTATAAAATAACTTCCCTTAACATTTTTGTTTCCTTTCTCTAGAATTTACCAGGGTCCAAACATCTCAAGTAGTCATATATTTTCCCCCTTTTGAGATGCTAGGTTGATTTCTCGGGCATGGTTGATGAAAACTTTCTGGAGAAACTTGGATTAGAAAAGGGTACAAGGAAGGTTGTGAACCATGAGGAGAGGGGTAAAAATCCTGCGTGCAATGGATGGGTGCAGTTACAAGGCTGCTGCTGGTGGGTCCCTTTCCAATAGTCTGGTGGCATTGGCCAGGCTCGGTCCTTCAACCTATAGGAGGACCACCTTTGAATATAGCCATGGCAGGCAGTGTTGGAAGTGATCCACTGGGTGGATTCTACAGGTCCGCTCTCAACTTTGCATTTTGTTATCTTTAAATACTAAAAAAGGGGGGTTTTCAATCTTCTCGTGTAATATTACCAAAATAGAACTCATTGGCGCAAATATGACTACATGGTCACTACTGACCTACAGTCATTGCAATTTGCAAAAGTATAATCATGGTCAGTGGAGTGGGAATTTGACATTGGAGTGTGGTCACTACAGTCACCATGAAATACCACTATGGATATTGCATGTTAAAAGCCATACTTTTGTCCATTATTATTATTTTAGTAATGTATTTGTCATTCTTTTCATTAAATAATGGCAAGTTTATCTGGGTCTAGATCCAAACTGCGGCGAGCAAATGTGAATTTTTTATCCACATCGATCAAAGATTGAACGACGGGAACTGTTATAGTTCTCACAACACCAGATGCTCAGCGCACGATGCTTGCATATCAGGTAGGTTTTGTTCTTTCACTGTTTTGGCTTTAAGAAATTAAATCCCTTTTAGTATTTACACACATAAATGGTTGATTTTAATTAGCATGTGAACCTAAAATAAGTTGCCACTAAGCAATTGCATTTTGCTTTCCTGTTTTGTCCAAAAGTTATGAAGGTGATGGAATTTTTTCTCTTGTTTGTAGGAAGCTTCTGAAGCTTTAGTATCTGTTTGGAAGACAATAAAAATGTGGGAGGAAATAAAAAACGTACACAAAAACAGCACAAGTCGACAGATTTACTTTAGATACTTGTTGATACTTATTTTATTTATTTTGTACGGAGTATATTTTATAAACCACTAGGTAATGAAAAAAGTTATACGGAATATTTAATTTACTTTTGGATTTCCTATAATAAATGGAAAGTATAATCAAATAACTTGCATGCATGTTTTTTCCCTTTCCCTAACTTTTTCAGTGATTCAAACATTCTTTTGTGTTTTTCCAATTCCAAGAACCTCTTAATCTAGTATTATAAGATATTAGGATTGATTACATATTTACATGAGAAATTGAATGTATCTTATCTCTATTCACTCTTTTGATCTTACCTTTTGTTCTTTTCATGCTCTTGTTCTAGGGTACATCTTCAACCCATTAGATATGAGCCCTTCTTGGCTAGAGCATCTCAAAAACAAACATATTAGTTGTAGAGGGATATTTATTTGAACTCCCTGATACAGTAAAAACGATCACAAAAGCATGTGATGATGCCCGTAAGTCTGGTACACTAATTGCCATCACAGCTTCTGACGTCTCTTGCATCGAGCGGCACTACGATGATTTCTGGTAAGCCTTCTCTCTTGACCCTTTTTTCACAGGGAACTAGACCATACTTTTTCATATAAATTGGAATTTGCACCCTAATTTTGAAATAATTAATATTTTCACCCAAATGGGGAGCAAGCTTCAATTCAGAAGAAAAGATGGGGTGTGAATATTAATGATTTCAAAGATGGGACGTGAGCTCAAATTTGAGTGAGAAAGTGTGGAGCCTCGACACAACAATAAGGCTGTTCTTTTTATAAGTTGGTTGAGGATGATTTTTTAAGATTAAATACTTTTAACATAATCTAAGAGCATGTATTCAAACAAGCCAGTCGTGGCCGATAAACATAAAGGATGAGTACACGCTTAAATATTGGTTTGTCTCAGGGAACCCATATTGTGGCAGGACATGTTAAGTCTTCCTACATTGTCAACTGTCAATTATGAAATATATCAATATACTCCGTATAATGTCTTGGGCTGTTGCCCCCTTTTTAGGATGAAACTCTAAATTTTGATTTTTGTCAATTATGAAAGTAATAATATGTATATAATGTTATTTGAGCAGGGAAATTGTTGCAAACTTTGGGGACATTGTATTTGCAAATAGTGACGAAGCCCAGGCTATGTGTCATTTTAAGTCAAATGAAAGCCCCGTATCTGCGGTGAGGTACCTAAGCCATTTTGTTCCATTAGTTTCAGTTACAGACGGTCCAAGAGGCTCCTACATTGGTGTAAAGGGGGAAGCTATTTTTATTCCTCCTTCCCCATGCATGCCATTAGATACTTGTGGTGCAGGTGATGCTTACGCATCAGGCTTTTTGTATGGGATGCTTCGTGGTGTACCCAACTTGAAGGTCATGGGTACCCTTGCAGCTAAGGTTGCATCCGTAGTTGTAGGGCAGCAAGGCACCCGGCTTAGGGTACATGATGCCATTGGATTGGCAGAATCGTTTGAGTACCAGCTTAAGAATTCACCCATCTGGTCTGCCGATATTGGTTCAGATCAAATATCCAGCTTGTAAACTTCAAACCCGTTGTAATTATTCCTACCATTGATTGTAATTATCTGGCATAGATTCATAGTCACCCCTAGTTGACTAACTCTGGTCCAATTCCTAATTCACCGAATTTTGTCTGAAACACGCATTTTCCTTCCGTTCTTCCGGCTAGTGAAACAGAGCATGTAGAATGTAAACAATTCTAAGCAGGTGTAACCCCCTACAACTTGAAACGGAAAAGGAGTCAAGGATGGGTGGGGCCCATTGCCTGCTTTGTGCATGGCGACCGTGGATGGCTCGTGCAATACAGGCCATGCACTTTCATCTTGCAGTGTCGCCAACGGCTATCAGCCGTTTCAAATAAAATAAATTATTCATTTGGTAAATTAGGCAACTCGGATTATTTGGGGCCATTTTGATGGGGGGAAATGATCCAAGAGTTGAAATTAAAATTCATGGCAAGTTAATATATTGTGTTTCCATTTCAAAAATTAGGTCCAAAATTGTTGTGCAATAATGCAAACGCATTTTTGGCTTCATTTTAACACAATTTTCTCATCTTTCCTTTTCCTCTATGCATTCCATCAACTTTTCCTCTATGTAATTTAGAACCACAAAAGTATCCATTTGGAAATGGAACAAATAATGAAGTACTTCTCCAGAAAACATATGTTACAAATTAGGGCTGGACTCAGGCCGGGCGGCCCGACCCGGAACCGGCCCGGCCCGCCCACTGTAGCAACCGGCCCGGTAGCCCGGTCCACCGGTGGTTCGGGTCGAACCGTCCCGGTGAATACCGGTTCCGGGCCCGGGCCCTCCATTTGGTGAACCGGCCCGGCCGGTTCGGGCCCGGTCCGGGCCGGAATTAATTTTTTTTTATTTTTTTTTGAAATTTTTTTAATTTTTGGGTTGGATTAGGTATTTTGGACAATTTGAGGTGGTTTGGGGTGGTTTGGGGTTGAGGGGGAGGGGTAGGGGGTTAAATAAGAGAAGCCAAAAAATCAAAAAAAAAAAAAAAATAGGGCGGGTGAACCGGCCCGGTCTGGCCCGGAACCGGTCACCGCCGGTTCGGGTCCGGGCCCTCCTTTTGGTGAACCGAGGCCCGGCCGGTTCAAGGCCCGAACCGGGCCCGGCCCGGTCTGGCCCGGAACCGGTCACCGCCGGTTCGGGTCCGGGCCCTCCTTTTGGTGAACCGAGGCCCGGCCGGTTCAAGGCCCGAACCGGGCCCGGCCCGAACCGAGTCCAGCCCTATTACAAATAATAGAATAAAAATGCGAGTAAAAAAACAAAAAAACATGGTATTCGTTTGGACCATAATGTTACTGAATCGATTAAGGTGTTCTAAACAAGATGATCTTTTCCTGCACCAAATTGATCTCAAACTCGATGGAATCGAGTTACACTTTTAAAGCATTTTCGTAGCTTCTATTTCTTGCTTATAGATCTCATTGGTCAGTTTTTTTTACCAAACTCCTAATTTTTTTAGTTTGCGCTTTGAATGGCAAACTAATCAAAATAAATAACGTTGGGGTTATTTTTCTGCTTGAATTATCTGAAATTGATTGAGATAATTATTCTAATATATTGTTCATACTTTTTCTTTTTTCTATTAATAAAATAGTTTATTTTCATAATTTAGTCGATTCAATCATTTTCCGTGTTACTAAACGAGCTCTTGATGTATTGGTCATCCCAAATCATTTCTAGCATATATTTTTTTTTAGGAAAAATGGAAACTAATAATCCAACCTTTTAGCAATCTTCTTACAATAGTCCTACATTTTCGTTATTCAAGAATAATTCAACCTTTGCACCTCATCTTCATTCGCTGGTCCCTGACCGGTTAATGACCTACTATTCCAAATTATTTTCTTATCTTTTCAAAATATTATCTTTGTGAAAGATGAGATTTATGGTATAATGATTTGTAAACATAAGAAAATAACTTGGAGTAGCAGGTCATCAACCGGTTAGGGATCAGTGAATGAAGATGAGGTGCAAAGGTTGAATTATTTTTGAATAACGAAAAGGTGAGAGTATTGTAAGAAAACCGCTAAAATGTTGGATTATTAATTTCCATTTTCCCTATTTTTTATTATTTTATTTTTTATTATTAACAATACATCTATTATTATTTGATATATTATATTTAAATTTCTCTAAATTTTGTGTTTATTTTTAGTAACGTCCAACTAGCTATTAGACATATAAAATGAACTAGAATTACTAGACCCATACTACACAATGATAACATACATGATTTATAATTCCGTTGATTTATTTGTGCAGTTTAGAAGGTAGAATCATAAGAACTTAGTAGGTTCCATTTTCCCACATTTTTGTTATTACTTTAAGCTATACTAGTATTTCCACCCGTGCGTTACATGAACTACAAAGAGAATATATCTTCAGATGACCTATACTTTAATTTCATGCTTTGGAGTAAAACCAAAAACATAAAATGAGTATGTGGGTAATTACATTTACTCTCTAAATGTAATTTTAGATGACCAATACATTTTCTTTCTTATCTAAATAAATAAAGAACAATTTCACAATCTTATTTTCTAAGTAATGGTCAATTACATAATACCATCCCTTAAAAAAGACTTGCATCAGTTTATGAAGTTAGGGGTGGGCAAGAATCCCGGTCCCGTTTTCCCATTCCGGTATATCCCGAAACCGTACCGGTGTTGTCCCGTTCCGTTTGGGTCTCATTGATTTTGTCCCGCACCGGTCCCGTACCGGTTTAAAACAGGACGGGACCGGGACATTGGAAGGTTATCCCGAACCGTCTCGTTGTCCCGTTTGTAATAACTATATAGATTTTGTAGCATGTGACTAGTGTGTAATGTCAACTCAAAAAATAAATGGTAACATGTTTTTAGTTCTTCAAGCCCAATTTTTAAATTAAAAATAATACCTAACATGAATATTTACTAACATAGATTTTTATCTCACTTTATATATCTACATATGAGTATCTCACAACTAGAACACATGATTTTGAATAAACTAATTCATTTTTGCTTTGCTTTAAATTTAAATTTCAAATTTTGCTAAACCTAACTAAAATCTAATAAGTAGTAGCTTTTAGCTTGTGATGAACATCAATTAACTTTTAAAATATTAATATTTTGGTGCATGATACTTTATAAATGCTAATATATATTAATTACAAATGATTATTTTTTGTTAGTTTGGGACGTCTCGAACCGTTCCGAACCATCCCGGTCCCGATTTAAATGGGACAAGACTAGGACAAAGGCTTGTCCCATACCGTACCGTCCCGTTATTATTAATTGGGACGGGACCGGGATAACCCTAATCCCGAACCGTCCCGACCCATGCCCACCCCTAAGTTTAAGTGACGATAAAGTTAATTGGTTACTTGAAACTCATATTGTTTTTAACAAATACAACTTACATATTTAGAAAATACATTAAAAGTTTTTTAAAGTTGCAAAAAATCAAATTTGATAAGTTGAATATACAAAGTAAAAAATTAAAAACTACTCCGTATTTGAATTGACCAAAGATTAGTAACAGGTATTCTTTTAGCAGTGGAGGTTGTATATGTTAATCGATGACGAAATAATAAAGTCAACACCTGTAACATACTCCATATAAAGCAAGACCAAGTGTGTCTACCATGAAGAAGTATATCTAAATTCACAAAATATGAGACAAAATAATACATCAACTACAAGGTAAACAATCCATTACAACTGCTTATTTCTAGACACCACTCAAATGATTGTACATTCTATGGATTTTATATATAAAGGAATCCACCCTTTAGTAGTTAGCAGCAACACTCAAAGCTTCAAAAGAAACTCATGTATGCATCTTCACCACCCATTATGAGCCTTTTCCTCATACCCCTTTTTTTTCCTTATTGTTCAAAGCTGTACTTTTTTGAGCTTGTTCTGCTACGTACACGGTACACCTGTTAATCTAGATCATATAGACCTCTTCATAATGCCTAACTGATTCTCCAAGTAATGACACCAATATTGAAATCAAATGATTCAGTTGTAAACATATATCAACAAAAGCAATCAGTTATTTATCATGCAATTACTTTAGCTTGGAGAAACTATTAAAATAATCCAAATGTATATATCATTAGTGCATTAGATCAGAAATTTAGGCTATATAAAAACAAAAACTGAACTTGATAAATGTTGTTAAGATAGTCCTGTACAATAGGCAAAGAGATAATTTGACACGAGTCTTTTTTTAACTTTTCTCTTTGGATAAATTGAAAAAATGAAGAAGCAAAATTCATTTCATCCTCTTCTCTACAAATGCAATGACAAATTAACACAAGCTATTTCAAAGCCATTAATAAAAGGTGATTTAACAAAAGGTTTTTTGTTAGGGGATGACCATAAATAAAAGGCATTTTAAGGCCAATTATTTATTTCTTTTGCATTTCTAATGAGAAACAAAACATTAGTAACACAACAAAACAGTTTGTTCCAAAAGAAAATATAGCATTAGACTCATTCTAGAAAATGCGCGTCTCTGTATCATAGTCGTTTGGTTTGTGATAATGCATTTGTTGAAAGATCTCTAGAGTGGCCTAAAATCCTAATCACTAACAATAGACTCATTCTTTGTATGTCATGATGAAAATTATCATGGGAAGGGAATCGGATTCACTCGGTATGAAAACTATACAATTCCACACTTTAAATTCATAGAATGTACAACCACTTTAGTGGTGTCTATAGAAATAAGCAGTTTGCATCAGCTATATTAACATGTCCATGTTCTGACAGAACTCAGAGACGCGTTTTTTGGTCTCAGGACACAATCTGAAGGATGAAGCCACATTGAAATTTCCAGTGTCGGAAGATCTTCTCCTATTTCAGGAATGTGTCCAGGTTCACTGCCATGTAGTTTCTATCAGTTCAAGAGACATTCCAGACCATTTATTTTGCTCAATAACCAAATCATTTGGCAATTCTGTGAAAGTATTGTAGTTGTCTCGCAAAAGTACTCGTATCGCAGGGAACCTTATTGCTTCTGAAACTATCTGTATGATGGTTAGAACAGATGTTGCGGCCTCATTATATGTGTTTGCACGATCATTTTCGCCCTAGAATCTTGAAAGATTGAGTACAGCACCCTCTAGGCTGAATTTAC